AAAAAAAAAACGGTAACCTGGTTGCCGAGTTCACGAAGTGAATTGGCTTGTTTTACAACGTCTTTGCCAAGAGACGAAAACCCAATCCCGATGGCAAACACCGGGGGGGGCGGCTTGTTTTACAACGTCGTTGCCAAGCGACGAAAACCCAACCCCGATGGCAAACACCGGGGGGGGCGGGGGGGGGAGAAAATCGTGGCACTCTGACGAGGAGTTAGGCGGACACCTGCCGGATGCGCTCCACGCGGTGTCGGCGCCGCATTGCACAAGCTTGCATTTTAAAATTCGCCTCTCGACGCCGTGAGTGGGGGCTTCATCACAGATTAAGAGGGCGGTCGGTACTGCTACAGTACTGCCGAAGAGGAACGAACCCGTGCATGTCGAAACCAGGCACAAAAAATCCCCGCGGCCACGCCGAACGCCTCGCGGGTCCACAGCAGAAAAGTGGGGTGCAACCTTCCTTGCAGTTTTTTTCGTTGCTCTTTTAGGAAGTATGACGGTATGAGTGGTTTGTTGATGTTTTTCTTCCTGGTTTTTGGGAGGGCATATGAGGACGAAGCAAGGCATCGAGAACGGCGGTGGAAACCAAACCAACCTTCTTGGCGCTCTCGAGGAGGACGTGCGTGCCGTAGATGTTGTTCTGGGTGAACTGGAAGGAGTTCCCGAAGGAGTTGTCCACGTGGGTCTGCGCCGCGAAGTGCAGGATCGTGTCGATATTCTCCTCCCGCAGGACGTACGTGACCATGTCCGACGAGCAGATGTTCCCCTTCACGAACTGGGCGCAAAAAAACGGCGTTGAAAATCCGCGCATTGCGTACAGGAACATGCCATGGTCAGGAATAACAATTCCACTGGTAGATGACCTGTCGATAAACACTGGGGAAAATCCATCGCTGACACTCAGTAGCGAAAGGTAGTGAATTGAAGTCCACTCTTTCAACACGACAAAGAAACAACAAAATAGGGCCGGCATGCGGCCGGTTTTTCTCCCACTCACTGCGAAGACTTGAAACACTGTGCCTACATCTCGAATGGGTACATGTAGTCTTTCTGTGATTGTACCATATACCTGGTATATATATATATATATTTATTTTCCAAAAAAAGAACAAGGGATTTGCGGGGGCGGCGGACGCTGACATGGACTGTTCGATCGTAATGTTATCTGCTTGCTTGTCTACATGGGGAGGTGCAGCAGTCCGTTGGTTGCTTCTCAAGAGGCTCGACGGCGTCTTATCGCTGCGAAGAACGGGCTCGCGTAGTCAGACAACACAACTACTTTGGGTCTTGGTCGGAGCCAATTAGAAGCCAGAGGGTAGTTGGAATATTGAATATTTGTTTTTGTCCTTAACCTCAACAGCTACAGATGCTGTCGAATAACATATCTACGTGGGCAAAATAGGACGCCGAATAACTTCCATCGGACAGCGGGGGTACATCCACAGCAATCTTCGGGCAGAACCCAGTTGGTATGAGATGGGCTTAGATCCGCATGCTGGTCTGTAGGGGCTGGTCTGTGCCGTCTCGACAGCAGTAGTAGCTAAATACAAAGATATTTGGTTGAAATTACATGATATTAGGAGAAACAAATATACACACAGAAAGACTACCCGTTCTTGAAATTACATGATAGTAGACAATTGGAATTCCTCCGCAAAGCGAACGCCGCTTGGTGAGCAATACTTGCTTGATGAGAGGATGAAAATACCACCGTCCGTTCTTTTCTCGTTGGTCTCAACATGACAAACAACTCTTGCATCCCCCAATGTCTCCACAACGTAAACAGCAGCACTACCGTACTACCGATGCATGTAGCATCCCTATAGAGAGACGCCGGCCCGAGCTCTGCTCATGCCTGTCGTCCAAGTTTAGCTTCCACATTCAGCGGACGAGCATCTGTCTCCCTGTAGTGTTGCTTCGTAGCATAGAGCAACGGAATTGAGGGCTACAACAAGCAACGCGCAAGGCTTTCCACAGAGCACTTGGTTTTAGTGCTCGAGACAACATGGGGTGCTGTAGCTACAGAGCAGGTATAACATGCCGCGATCGAGACACAGCGACAGAACTCTGCGGTGTGGAATGTGAGCTGTGGCAACGATCGTTGGAAATTCATCACTTTCTGCACAAAAATCGTGCCTCTCTGAACTGATGTGCTGCCAACATATAGAGAAAAGGGTAGCCAACAGAGGCTGCTGTCTGCAACGTTGATATTTTCCGGGCGTGGCCCATGACGATCAAAGCCAAACCAGCACAACCGAACCTGACCACAACACGTGCTTCGTGTGCATCGGAGATCGAAACGTGCTGCCAACATATAGAGAAAAGGGCAACCGACAGAGGCTGCTCTCCGCAACAGTGATATTTTCAGTGGTGGCCCATGACGATCAAAGCCAAACCAGCACAACCGAACCTGACCACAACACGTGCTTCGTGTGCATCGGAGATCGATACTACAGCAGTAGATCTGCGAAGAAAGGGCACGGCCACAGCGGGTGCTCATTTGAGCACACCTTGTAGTTGGGCTTCTGCGCGATGCAGTCCAAGTTCTCCAGGCACGCGCAGTAGTCCAGGCGGTCCAAGACGACGATGTTGTACTGCGGGTACTTCTCCACCAGAAGTATGACGAGGTGTGAAGCGATGAAGCCCGCCCCACCGGTGATCAAGATGTTTTGCGGGGTGTAGTGGGGAGCGACGGTCTCGGGAGTAGATGCCCCGCCTCCCTCCGACCCTTCCGTTGCCATGGCTATGAACTATGGTATGTGACTATAACAATCCAGGGTATACCTTGGGTCGTACGGTACGGTCGGTACGTGAGAAGGGGGCACGCAGAGTTTGTTTTTATGCTACCCCGGTCGCCGTCCCGCCCGCCGCCAGAGAGCCAGACCACACATAGCATGGGCCAGATACCAGCAGCGCGGCGTTAGCGAACGACTTTGGTAGCGTCGGCAACCCTCGCCCGAAGCGTGCAAGAAGGTACGATGCTCATGTAGGGCAGGCAGTCGTATAGCTCGGAAGCCTTGGAAGACAGTATTTCCAATGGGAGATATGTATCGCTGTACATAGCAGGTCGCCCCGGAGGTCTAGCGGGTAGCCTCGCAGCCAGCTAAGGGCCAGGTCATGGGTTCGAGTCCCGACAGAGTGAGTTTTTTCTCGGTAATTAAATCCTGGTCTCCGTTGGAAGCGACGCGCTGCAAAGCTCGTTGTTAGTAAACTTGATCGACTTCATAAGTCGCGAGGGAAGGGATTGCTGTAGTCTACCCTTGTCGCGATAAAAATATCTCAGGCAGGAACCGCTGGAGGGGGTCCAACCACCCCCTCCTATGTGACCCCGGTTGGGTCGTCTAGCTGGTAGAAGAGGAGGATAGGGGCCAGAGGGGCAGACGACAGAGTCCAGTGATGGGAGAAAAACAAACAACAAACAAGAGCATCACATGGTCCTCGCGCTGGTGCATCGAGCGAGCAGCTGCAGAGAACAGACACCGCATCAGGGCTCTGTCGCGCCTTCACTGGGCACCCGCTTGTCTCTCCACCGTCACGTTACGCCTAGCAATGGTCTTTTACGCCTAGCAATGGTCTCCGGGGGCGTCATCCCACGCCTGCGCGTGTTTGCATCCAGCGTCTTGCCTCTGTGCGGCGGATATCTCTAGCAAGAACAATCGCTCCGCTTCTGCCAACCACCGAGATCACCGAAGAGTGCAGACGCAAGATAGCCTTGACACGGAGCTAAACACAAAACGTTGTCCCTCTCTTGTCGTCATTCCAGGGACTGTGAGGATCTGACCCGGCAGGAGGCGAGTGCGCAGCACTCGGTCGGCGTCATGACCTTCCGCCGCGCCGCCGCGGTGACGGCGAAAGGCCTCGCCCAGGCCTCGCGGGACCGCTTCGCCAACCCCCCCCCGGTGGCAGCAACGGCACCACCAGTCACAGACCTCCTTGCAACGGGTGCCAATACCTCGGCTAGAATATCTACATCTTCCAGCAGGAGAAGAAGTGACTTGGCCGGACAGCAGCACTCCGCGGCCGCGCCAGCAGAGGCGGAACCGCCGCATCCTTCCAGCGTTTTGGAAACCCCGATCTCTAATGATTCAGCAGGTGGTCTCAACGGTGACGGCGGCGGGACTCGGAAACGAAAGCAAACGAACAGACGAAAACCACCACCACCACCACCGCCACCACGAGAGGCCTTCGGCGGGATGAGACGTCGCTTTGATTTCGAAACGGGCGCGAAGAACTTGCGGGCGGCGGCTGCGGCGGCCGCAGCTGCAACGTCGCCGCCCCCACACCCGTGGGTTGCCGCGCGCTTGCGGAGGGAGTCGATGCGAGCCAAGAAGAGCAGGACGCCGGACTTCGGGCGCCGACGGGGCCCGTTCATGTGGCGGCTGCAGCAGGCGGGGATGAGGAGGGACTGCGACGAGGCGGAGCGGGTCCTGAGGCAAGCTCTCGAGTGTCCCGGGGTGGTGGACACCATGCTTTGCAACGCCGCGCTCAGCACCTTCGCCTCCGACGGGAGGTGGCAGGTCGTGCTGGAGGTGATGCAGCAGATGCGGGAGGCAGGGCTCACGCCGGACGCCCGCACCTACACGAACGCGATAAAGGCGTGCGGGAAGGGGAGGGAGTGGCGTCGCTCCGTGGCGCTCCTGAAGGAGATGTCGGCCCACGGCGTCGAGCCCAACTCCATCCACTACGTGTGCGCCATGACGGCCTGCAAGATCAGCGGCATGGGCGCGGAGGCCGTGGGCCTCCTGCGCGAGATGCAGGCCGCCGGCATCGAGCCGAACGTCATCTGCTACAACACGGCGATCGCTGCTTGCGGCACGGGGGTGCAGTCGGAGGTCGCGGTCGACCTCCTAGCGGAGATGAACGCCCTGGGGGTTCGCCCGAACGCCCAGACGTGCCTCGCGGCTGTCCGGGCGGCCGGCGACAAGGACAGGGGAGAGCAGGCGGTTTCTGTGCTTCGGAGTATGTCCGAGGCCGGGGTTGCTGCAGAGGCCAAGTGCTACGCCATCGCCATCAAGGCCTGCGGCCGGGGGCGGCGCTGGGCACGGGCGTTGGAAGTTTTGAGGGAGATGGAGAAGAACGGGGTCGAGCCGATCGTGATGGGGTATGACGCGTGCATTGCAGCCTGCGGGGACGGCAAGCAGTGGGAGCAGGCGGTGGCGCTCCTGCGAGAAATGCCGACGGTAGGGGTAACGCCGACGGTAGTCAGCTACAGCAACGCCATCGCCGCCTGCGGTCAGTCGTACCAGTGGAAGCCCGCCCTAGAGCTGCTCCGTGAGATGCCGCAGGAGGCGGGGATCAACCCGGACGCCGTCTGCTACAACAACTGCATGACGGCGCTGGGCCGGGGGCTGCAGTGGGAGATGGCCCTCACGCTCCTGCGGGAGATGCCGTTGGTGGGGCTCCCGATCAAGGCGCAGAGCTACACCGTAGCCATCAAGGCTTGCGGCGACGCGGGCGCGGGGAAGCCAGCCGTCGCGCTGCTGCGGGAGATGCAGGCGGAACTGAACGTCCCCCCGAACGTCATCTCCTACACGGCCGCCATCGCCGCCTGCGGGAAGGGGGACCAGTGGAAGCAGGCGCTCGAGCTCCTGCGAGAGATGGCGTCGATGGGCGTCTCCCCCAACGACAGGACCTACACGGCGGCCATCACGGCCTGCGGCAACAGCGGCAAGTGGGAGGAGGCGCTGTCGCTGCTGCGCGAGATGCCGGCCATGGGAGCGGACCCGAACATCGCAAGCTACACCGCCGCTATCAAGGCCTGCGGCAACGGCGGCCAGTGGGAGAGGGCCGTTGAGCTGTTTCGGGAGCTCCCGAGCGCCGGGATCACCGCCGACGCCCAGGCGTACAATGCCTGCGTGCAGGCGTGCGGGAAATCCCGAGCGGTCGACCAGGCGGTGGAGCTTCTGCTGGAGATGGCACCGGCCGCCGGCTTGGAGCCAAACGTGTTCACCTACAACTCGGCCCTGATGGCCTGCTCTTGCCCGAACGGGGGGCGGTGGGGGAAGGCGCTCGAGCTGCTGGAGGAAATGGCGTGGAGGGGCATCGCGCCCAACGCGGTGACGCACGAGTCGGCTCTTGCGGCGTGCGGCGAGAGGGGTAGGGACGAGGCGGACAGGGTTCTGGCGAATATGTCGTCGGAGGTGTGGGAGGGCAATGACGCCGGCGGCGGGGACGCATCTCCCCGCTGAAATGGTTGTGTCGTCCCGCTGTGGGTACAATGTATTGTTACAGTAGTTTGCTCATTTTTCTCAGGTCAGTGGCCGTGCCCCCTTGCTTGCATTTCTCTTGTCGAACTGACCACGACAACACCGGGTAAGGTTGATGCCCGCAGGGGAGAGAGCTCCTGTAGCCCAGCACACACGTACACAGTGAACTTATCGGCGGGGGGGGGGGG